CCACATCATGTGCTGACTGTATATTGTAGATGTACGGGATACACAAAGTGCCCATGTTAGTGGACTCTTCATTTGGTACACATCACTAGCAGTCATTTTTGCCCGTTTTAAGTTACTATGACCTCATGACCAAAATTCAAATTATGTTCTGTCTGTTCTATCAAAATCGTAAAATTATTCGGAGTCGTTATCAAAATATTCAAAGGATTGCGTAAGAAAAAGCTTGACATAATGTGCAACTCAAAATCTTTGATTTCGATTTTCTCAAAACTAGGTGCTGAGCAGATAGAACAGTGTAACCCTAAGGTAGCGATGTGTCTTGTCTTCTTTCCATTACATTTCATTCTCAGCATTTTCTTTCTGTTGTTCTGTCTCCCTCACGTTGACGTAACTTTAACCGAATTGAAAGCCCCATAACTCAGTGGCGAAGTGAGTAATGAGTTTAGGTTCAAGAGTAAAGTCAAGCAAGTGTCGGTGACACGCGGATCAGATGGGTGGTCACTGGGGTGTGTCCTTGAGCAAGACACGACAACTCTAACTAAAAAAATCACACAGGGCGCTGCACTGTGAGGACGAGCAATGGCATGGTTGTGAAATTATTTTTTATTGGAGTAATATTGTGTATTTGTGTAGGTATTTATTGTGTATTTATGTATGTATGTATATATAATCATGTATTTACGCAAGTATATTAAAATATTATGTTTGCCATGGTAAACCAAATTGCCCTTCTGGGATTAATAAAAAAATTCATTATTTATTTTTATTCCTTTATTTTACCTGAGGTGACACACTCCTGAAGGCTGGAGCCCGGGGCAGGTGAGTGCCATACTCTGGAACGTACTCACGGAACTTGTTGTTGAACCTGTCCGGGGAACGCCTCTGTGGAAGAAAACAATTTGTGCACGTGTGTTAGAAATGGTGAAATAGAACAAGTTTATTTCCCTTACCAATACTATTATTAGGTTATTTATTTTAGTACATCTCCGAAAGGACCGAGCCAAATGGGAAATTCGTGTAGTGTCTGCTTCTCCAAGGACTCAACATCAGAATGAGCTGAGGCTCGAACCCCCGAACATGTAATCTCA